GGTCGGAACAGGTTCAAGTTTGGCCTGTAAAGTGTCCCAATTCTATTCCCCATTTTCCAAATATTTCCTGTTCTGTCCTGCAAAAGTTTGGAATTATTTATGGTTTTTGAAATAAGTCTCTTATGCTCACCAAGGCTGCATTTATTTGATAAAAAATACAGTAAAAACAGTAATATTGTGAAATATTTTAAATATATTTTAATATGTAATTTATTCCCAGATTTTCAGCAGCCATTACTCCAGTCTTCAGCATCACATGATCCTTCAGAAATCATTCTAATATGCCGATTTGGTGCTCAGTTATTATCATTTATGAATGCTCAGTTATTAATGGTTCTTGTTATTTTCAATGTTGAAAGGACTTTTTGCTGATTAATATTTTGTGGCTTTTTTTAGGATTCTTTGATGAATATAAAGTTTAATGATCAGCATTTATTAAAAAATAGAAATATTTTCTAACATTATAAACATCTTTACTGTCACCTTTAATCAAATTGATGTCTTTGCGGAATAAAAGTAATAATTTTTTCTTCTTCTTCTTAAAAAAAAAAAGCCTTACTTGCCTCAAACATGTCAATGGTAGTGTATCACAGATTGTTTTTCTTATATTAATACAAATATTAAGCAACAAAAATTGTTTTCAGCATCAATAATAATAATAAAAAAATATTGAGCATCAAATCAGCATATTAGAAGGATTTCCAAAGAATCATGTGACAATGACTACAAAAATGACAATGAAAATTCAGCTTTGCCATCATGGGAATAATTTAATATTAAAATATATTCAAACTGAAAAGTTATTTTAAATTGTAATAATAGTTCTCAATATTTTACTGTATTTTTGATCAAAGAAATGCAGCCTTGGTGAGCATAAGATACTTTTCATTAAAAACAATTACAACTTTTGTAGCGTATTAAAAAAGTGATAACACTCTTGTATAGGGACCAATTCTCACTATGAAGCAGTTGCTTGTTAGCATGCCCATTATTAACATATTGACTGTTTATTTGTACTAATAAAGCACACATTCTGCATGACCATATTCTACATCCCTAATCCTACCCCATACCTAAACTTAACAACTACCTTACTAACTATTAATAAGCAGCAAATTAGGAGTTTATTAAGGCAAAAGTAGTAGTTAATGGTTTGTTCATTTTAAAATAAAGTGTGACCAAAAAAGTTTATTGTAGCTTATTGAGTGAGACATCAGAAGACAGAGATGACTGTATTTTTTCATTGCTGATTGACTGTCCTCAAACTGTGTATTGAATTCCCTTCCAAGTTTCTCTATACGAAAATCGCAAACAGTATTTTCAGTATATGAGGTGTTGTGTAAACCAAAGCAGAGAGTGTTATGAAATGTTTCTGTGTATGTTGGTAACAGAAACCTGTCACAAACAGACTAGTCGAGAGACTTATGCATGCACAAACATGCTGTGACTGCGCTTAATGAAATGTGCTCTGTGCTTTCTGATGCATGTTGGCTTGATGAGGAATGGTATAGTTGAGAAAGGCATAGCCTATAAAAGAAGATGAAGTGAACGACAGAATAAGGATGTACAGGAGAATGACAAAAGGGGGACATCTAGGTTAAAAGGCATGCATGGCTGCCCTCCAAAAAGCCAATAGTGCCAGCTTGCCCAATTTCACCCCAGCTCATGATTCAGAACTATGCTGTCAGCCTGCTCCGGCATGATCTATTTTTATTCTCAATGTATCATCCCTACTCCTTTCCTCAGATGAAGAAAACACAGCTGTCCAAATATCTGTGGCCACAGGGCAAGCGCTGCGTTCCATGTTTGCCTCTTAAGCTCAAAACTGCAGGCGTGTATCTAAAAGAGGCAGTCGGGCGGAACTGATATGACTGTGCCATTTAAATTTAACACAAAGATTGTGACATGCATATTTCACCATAATCAGTCAGAATCATGACCGGTTTTCTGTGATGATTATACAAAAATAATTATTATATTTAATATTATAAATATATATATATATATATATATA